AAATCGCTTTCTCGTTTTTTTTACTCTCGCTTTCTCCTCGCCTTTTTCCTCGCATTTTTTTACCCTCGCTTTATCACCTTTTTCCTCGCCTTATAGCCTTTTTCCTCGCCTTTTCCTCACTTTCTCGCCCTTTTACTCGCTTTCTCGCCCTTTTCCTCGCTTTCTCGCCCTTTTCCTCGCTTTTTTTCCTCGCTTTCTCGCCCTTTTCCTCGCTTTTTTCCTCGCTTTTTTCTTCGCCTTTTTCCTTGCATTTTTCCTCGCTTTTTTGTTCGCCTTTTTCCTCGCCTTTTTTCTGTGCCTGTGCTTTCGTAACTTTGTCATTAGTACCAAATTACAACCTATACTCCTAAACTTATACAGTTTTATAATTGGTTGAAAACTAAATTCCAGGTAAAGTTTAACATGGCATAAGACGTCATCATTTCATTATAAATGAATACTTATTTCATCGATAAATCGAACCCAAGGACCATAGTTATATTACTTATAACTACAGGCTTATAACATAAACACAATGGAATATATCCTGGTATAACACACTTCTTTATATGATAACAAAGTACTTTGTAGGAAATCGCTTTCTCGCTTTTTTCCTCGCTTTCTCGCCATTTTCCTCGCTTTCTCGCCTTTTCTTACCCTCGCTTTCTTGCATTTTCCCCGCTTTGTCGTCTCTCGACTTCTCGTGGACGAGAAGTCGAGGGTATTATGGCCACAGCCGGCTTCCATAGATGTTCGTGGGAGCAAGTTGTAAGTGATGCGGAGGAAAATCGAATTGCACGTGCAACACGTACCAGAGTTCTGTATAAAAACAAACTGACGCCTAGTGAGAATTCAATTGCTGTGAAGACAGCGAGCTCATGGCAAGTCTAACCTCCCAACAACGTGAAAAAGCCATCGAACGATTAAATGCCGGACAACGTGGTCAAGTCATTACCAATGCATTTAACTGTAGTGTACGAACCATTGAGAGACTTGTTACAACACCACCAACAGCACTGATGACCGCATTATGATATGGGGTGCAATCGGCATCAATCAGACACTTGGATATATTGTCTTCCAGAATATCGGCCCAGGCAGAGGCCATGGAGTCACAGCCGTCCAACCCCATGTTGCACCGCAGTTTGCCGAAAACACACATTCCAGCATGACAGCGCCCGTCCATACACTACCATAGCCATCAGAACCTTACTCCCACAGCATAACATCAGGCCACATTAAGCCATGATCCTCACTCAGCCCGGACTTAAACCAATTAGAACACTTGTGGGATGACATCCAAAGACGACTAAACCAGATCCAACCGCTTCCATGAAATGCAGCAGAACTCCTAGGAGTCTGGGCGAAGATTCCAATGGCGTCTGTGAATCATTTATGCCTCGCAATGTACAGAAGATGTCCGGCCCTTATCAACGCATAAAGTGGACACACCAGATACCGACTTTCAGCCTCCTACTGTAAAGATCAGGTGATCAGAACCATGATATGTCATAGCAATAACTTGAAAGACACTCAAACAATCCTTTGTGCCTATTGTGGTTGTTTTCTGACAATTATCTATTGTTTTAGTGAAATTTGAATAAACAATTCACTATTTTCTGTGCTTTGCGACGTTTCTTTATCTGTTCAGTATATATATTAGTTTTTGGATTTTAAAAAATACACAAGCTATCCTAAAACCTTTACAGGTCAAGATTTATTGAGTATTAAACCTGAAGTATTTATAGAGGGTGAACCTGGTGATGTTACCTGTACCTATAACAATCAGTATACAACATTTGAAATTTACGGTAGTATCGGTGATACACAGACTATTACAACATGTCGTGTACAGTTATCAAGTTGTATTATTTCATCAACTGGTATTAATTATACTCAATATTACAATATATCTAAAACTAATAACAGTGTTACAATTCATATTTATAATGTCAATAAAACAAGAGATAGTGGTGTATGGAGATGCAAGGTGTTTGTATCAGCATATAATCAATCTGAAGAAACTTTAACAATTGATGTAAAAGGTAGGCAACACTGTTACAAAAGATGATTTTAATGTATCTCTGAAAATATAAGAATAATAGCAACACAAAATCAATATTCATTTCGGTATCAAATGTATAGTCAAGCGTAGATATTTGTGCGCACCCCGGTACTGATAATTAATAATAAACACAACCAATCTGTTATATCTTTTTTAAAAGTTCGAGAAGGATACGTAATTAAGAGTTAAGAGGGTTTAACTAATTCCTTAATTTGATATTGCTGGTAGAAGAGGCTACACATATCGACATAGCGATGTGTGAAAAGGGAATCGACACTATTGACATAGATCCGGTTATGCACGTAAAAGTTCTCCCGATATATCATCAAATTTGTGTATGTAATCTTAAAAAGAACTTCCGAATAAGAAATTTGAAAATTTGTATTGTTATTTGTATTGAATTTTGGTCAAAATTAATTTTCTTTATTTATACGATATTCACGAAACTTAGCAGTTGGATACAGGATTAATTATCAATTAGATTGAAGAAAAAAATCATTTTCCGGAAACAAGCAGAATTTTTTTCTTTTATGCAGTGTAAAATTCCCCGATAAAAATGTTTACTATTACTAAAATTACAGTTCTTGTATCAAGTGTAGAAATCACCAATAACAATGTTTATTATTACTATAATTACAGTTCCTATATCTAGTGTAGAAATCACCAATAACAATGTTTATTATTACTATAATTACAGTTCCTGTATCTAGTGTAGAAATCACCAATAACACTCTTTATTATTACTATTATTACAGTTCCTGTATCTAGTGTAGAAATCACCAATAACAATGTTTATTACAACTATAATTACATTTCCTGTATCTAGTGTAGAAATAACCAATAACAATGTTTATTATTACTATAATTACAGTTCCTGTATCTAGTGAAGAAATCACCAATAACAATGTTTATTATTACTATAATTACAGTTAATGTATCTAGTGTAGAAATCACCAATAACATTGTTTATTAATACTATAATTACAGTTCATGTATCCAGTATAGAAATCACCAATAACAATGTTTATTATTACTATAATTACAGTTCCTTTATCTAGTGAAGAAATCACTAATAACCATGTTTATTATTACTGTAATTACAGTTCCTGTATCTAGTGTAGAAATCACCAATAACAACATTTATTATTATTATAATTACAGTTCTTGTATCTAGTGTAGAAATCACCAATAACAATGTTTATTATTACTATAATTACAGTTCATGTATCCAGTGTATAAATCACCAATAACAATGTTTATTATTACTATAATTACAGTTAATGTATCTAGTGTAGAAATCACCAATAACATTGTTTATTATTACTATAATTACAGTTCATGTATCCAGTATAGAAATCACCAATAACAATGTTTATTATTACTATAATTACAGTTCCTTTATCTAGTGAAGAAATCACTAATAACAATATTTATTATAACTATAATTACAGTTCCTGTATCAAGTGTAGAAATCACCAATAACAATGTTTATTATTACTATAATTACAGTTCCTATTTGTAGTGTAGAAATCACCAATAACAATGTTTATTATTACTATAATTACAGTTAATGTATCTAGTGTAGAAATCATCAATAACACTGTTTATTATTACTATTATTACAGTTCCTGTATCTAGTGTAGAAATCACCAATAACAATGCTTATTATTACTATAATTACAGTTTTTGTATCTAGTATAGAAATCATCAATAACAATGTTTATTATAACTAATTACATTCCTGTATCTAGTGTAGAAATCACCAATAACAATGTTTATTATAACTATAATTACAGTTCCTGTATCAAGTGTAGAAATCACAAATAACAATGTTTATTATTACTATAATTACAGTTCCTTTATCTAGTGAAGAAATCACTAAAAACAATGTTTATTATTACTATAATTACAGTTCTTGTATCTAGTATGGAAATCATCAATAACAATGTTTATTATTACTATAATTACAGTTCCTGTATCTAGTGTAGAAATCACCAATAACAATGTTTATTATAACTACAATTACAGTTTCTGTATCTAGTGTAGAAATCACCAATAACAATGTTTATTATAACTATAATTAAAGTTCCTGTATCTAGTGTAGAAATCACCAATAACAATGTTTATTATTACTATAATTACAGTTCCTGTATCTAGTATGGAAATCACCATTAACAAGGTTTATTATAACTATAATTACAGTTCCTGTATCTAGTGTAGAAATCACCAATAACAATGTTTATTATAACTATAATTACAGTTCCTGTATCTAGTGTAGAAATCACCAATAACAATGTTTATTATTACTATAATTACAGTTCCTGTATCTAGTATAGAAATCACCATTAACAAGGTTTATTATAGCTATAATTACAGTTCCTGTATCCAGTGTAGAAATCACCAATAACAATGTTTATTATAACTATAATTACAGTTCCTGTATCTAGTGTAGAAATCACCAATAACAATGTTTATTATAACTATAATTACAGTTCCTGTATCCAGTGTAGAAATCACCAATAACAATGTTTATTATAACTATAATTACAGTTCCTGTATCTAGTGTAGAAATCACCAATAACAATGTTTATTATAACTATAATTACAGTTCCTGTATCCAGTGTAGAAATCACCAATAACAATGTTTATTATAACTATAATTACAGTTCCTGTAGTGTAGAAATCACCAATAAAAATGAAGATTTCATAAAAGATAGAACTGTCAATTTAGAATGTAAAACTACTGGAGGATATCCTCTACCAAATATCACGTGGTCTATAAATACTAGAATATTGATGACGTCAGTTAATACAACTACCAGTAGTTTATCATATCAACCTGTTGTATCAGATCAGGGTCAAAGGTTACAATGTTCAGCTACCAATGGTTATGGTCAATCTAAAACTGATTCATTTCAACTTGATATTAAATGTAGGTACACTGTGTAATCTCATCAAATCAATTTTACACCAAACTCGTATATCTTTTATTAGTCAGTTATATATTGGAACTACGACACTTGATATTAATTATTTCACATAAATGGTATATTCAGGCATCACGTCACTCTTGATTACATTTGACAGATATCTTCAATCAAAATTTAAATTAATTGTTTTATAATTTTTGGTATCTCTACTGAGAAGAGAGAAAATATTGCATTTTGTGGTCACTTCAGATCAACCAGTTGTTGATATAAATTCATCTATAACACTATATAAACTGATACAAGGTCAGACAGTTAAGTTAGAATGTCAAGTTAACCAATCTAATCCAGTAGTTACAAGTTATAAATGGTATAGAAATGGTAATATAATAACAGGATCTAGTTCAACATATACAGTATCTAATGATGGTAGTTATTCCTGTTCAGCTACTAATTCTGTTGGTGAATCTGATAGAAGTCGTGTTATATCTGTAGAAATATTATATCCACCGTCTGTATCTACTCCACAATCACCATATTCTATTATAGAATCTACTCCCCTTACTATACCCTGTATAGTTACATCTAATCCTGTACCTAATAATTATACTTGGTCTGGACCTAATAACTTGATACAATCTCAACAGAATTTAACTATATCTAGTATCAATAGAGATCAAACAGGACAATATACATGTACAGTTAGTAATATCATGATACCAACTACTGGTGTACAACAAACTGGTACAGGAATTAATTCAACTACTGTAAATGTTTTATGTAAGTATTAAATATTTAAAACCTATGCAAATCACTGGTCATGACTGAAATATAAATAAATTGCTGTAAATACAAATACAAGCACATATCTATTGCGTTTCGTTATTTGAAAGGCAACTATTTTTCACTTTTTCTTGATTTATACTAGTAATGGACAATAGTCTGAAGATAACGTCTTTTGTTTTAAAATAACAATTCAGCATTACTATATAGATGCTTTAACTATTGATGTCTAGTGTTGAAACAAATATAAATCAAACGAGAATCAGAGAAAGTATCCCTCTTTGCATTATCAATTTATTTTTGATTCTACACCAAAAAAGTTATCATAATCACCGTCCTTAAGAAATACGTCATTTTTATTATTTTAGATGGTCCTGAAGTTAGTGTATCTAGTGTAGAAACTAATATAAAAGAAAATGAGAATCTCAGAATAAATTGTAAAGTAAAATCCAATCCACCAACCAATGATATAGTATGGTATCAATCTAATGGTGATATTGTACCAAATCAATTTGTGATTAATTCTGGAGCTAATAGAAGAGATTTAGTTATTAATAATATCAATCGTAGCAAGTCAGATAATTATACCTGTACAGCAAGATTAGATCTACATCCTACAGTTGGTGAAATTTTACCACAAACTCACAGTCAATCTTCTACCATTAATGTTCAATGTGAGTGAATTTATATTAATATTCTATGAGAGACGGCACATAGAGGATCTTAAACGAGTGCTTATGTTATATGAAATTTATGAAATGAGTTGCTAAATTTAATATTACCCATAATTACATAATTATTTATCAAACCCACTGTTGTTCTATGGCCAAATATATTTAAAAATATATTTTGTCCATAGAAAAACAGTAACAAAATGAGGTTGTTTTTCTTGTACTGATTTCCTGTCTTCCTTACATGACTTAGCTGCTACCCAGTAGTAAATATAGGATCTTAAACGAGTGCTTATGACATTTATGAAATGAGTTGCTAAATTTAATATTATCTGAGCCTTGGCGAGGGAAATATTTAATATGGCAACAAATTTCATAAATTTTATGACATCAGCAAGAGTGAAAAATTCTATTTATCAAACAACCTTAAATTTCCTTATTCTATGGCCTTCGTTTTGAGATCAGCCTTTTAACACCTTTCTACAAAATGTCCCGGCGTGTAACAAAAAAGATCTGGGCAACACATAAATGTGATTGTAGATACCAAATGTTCGAAAGTTATGTGTTTCGGATTATGATTTAGACTGCGTTTCGGACAAGTAAATTTTTAACCAATCAGACGTTTGTTTACGACCACGCGGGTGAAGAAATAATCCAACATGGTGGAAAGAAATTGAGAGAGAAGACAATAATTGCAGATTTGATGACTATTTAGATCGATTTCTAGCTTGGAAGCGCACAAATACGGTATTACTTTGACATCATCTTTCAAATATCGTATTGTAGATTGACTGTGCATTTCAAGTGAATGTTTGTTTATACATTTTACGCTAGTGGCTACGACTACAATTAATTTTCCCGGTGTGTTAAAGGGAGACAATTAATTTCCACACAGTATATATGGGAGATAATTCATTTATTCTAAATCAGACCACAATTAAATAAGTTCCAAACGCTGACGGGGAGGTAACCTTTTAATTAATAACAACAATTAATGTTTTTAAAGTTTATTTTTGTACATTTTGTATATTTCAGTTAATCGCCATTGAAAATGAGATATCAACTTTTAAAGATAATACACCTTAAGAGTTTTGTTATGTTAATAAATGGTTGTTAATTCAAGATGGTGTATTGGTGTATATTTCGGGTACCTCCAAGTAGAGATTGTCAAGAAGGGTCTGCGAGAGTGACAAGTGGACTCTATTAGTAATATTATTAACGAATTTAGATGCCTAGTTCCTGAAGTACCAGTTAAGAAGGCAACTACTGATAGATTAAGAAGATGAATAAAACAGATGAGTAAAAATGTCTCACACGGATTCAGATATCAGTTCAGGTTCACAGATTGTGACTGATGTCATTATACATAATACAGAAGATGAGGAGAACAAAGATGATGTCGTCAAAACAGTTGAAGACAGAAATAGAATAGCCTCTGTGCTAACAACTAAAGTGAGAAAAATAAATGATATTTTAGACAAAGAAGAAATCGCCGTTGTGCGAAAGAAGTATAAAGCCTGGATGCAAGCATATGAAGATTTTCTTCTAACGCAAGAAGCTTATCGAAGATCTATGGTTTCAATAAAAGAAGGTGAAGATGGAGAAATTCATAAGAAAATATTTCTTGATTTCAAGGGAAAAATGGAACAATGGTTTTTACAGAAAAAACAATTTAAAGAAAAGAAAAAATAAATAATTTAAGATGATAGATCTGTTAAGACCAATGCAACTAAAAGATCCCGAAGGAGTGAATCTTCAATCTCCTCTTCACTAGCTAAAACTAAATTAAAGAAAGCCGGAGTAAATGCCAAAGTTGAATTGCTGAAGAAGAAACAAGCATTAGAACAAGCTAAGTTCCAGTTGAAAATACAAGAAGAACAATATGAAATTGAAGAAGAATTGGCTATTGCTGATGCCGAAGAAGAGGTATTAAAAAATTTAGAAATAGAAAATAACATAGATGATAATAATCACAACAATACCCACACATTCCAGGGTAATAAAGATGAAAATACTTGCCCACCCCAGGGTAATGATAAAGACCAAAATACTTACCTACCACAAGGTAATAGTGATTACAATACTTACCTGTCACCATATAATAAACACAGAGCAGAGATTCCTGAAAGAAGTCGTACTAGACGAGAATATATTGATAGATACATAGACGTACAATCTTCATCAGGTAATAGTCAAAAATCTACAGAAGAAGCTTTGATGAAGATGATTCAGGAATTAAAACGACCTCCTTCTGAGATGAAGAAAATTGATGGTTCTGGCACTGACTTTAAAAGATTCATGAGGCAATTCCAAACCAAAGTTAATGCTAACACTGATAATGCAGATGATCGCATGAATTATTTAGAGCAGTACACTACTGGAGAAGCTAATACAATAGTAATTGGATACAGTCATCTGGATGCAGTTAAAGGTTATCCAGCAGCTGTAAAAGAATTGAATAGACGATATGGTGACCCAATAGTGAACACTCATAAATATATAAAGAAGGCTGTAGAATAGACTGAAATTAAGTCTAACGATGCTAAAGGTTTAGACAAATATGGTATCTATTTAGCTGAAGTTTTGTATGCAGTAGAAGATATAAAGGGATTGGAAATATCAGGATACTCACATAACTTGCAGAAGATTGTTTCTAATTTACAATACGACATTCAGAAAAAATGGCAAGCGAAATTCCAGCAGGTTATTGAACAAAACACTCTTGCCAGATTAGAACATCTTGTAGAACTGGTACAAAAGGAAGCTATTAAACTAAATGATCCAGTATTTGGGTGTGATGCACTTGCAGCCATAAAGCAATCCTCACATACAGACACCAAGAAGAAAGATACTAGAAGTAGATATAAAGCCAGTTATGCTACAGTTTCAGATGATAAAGAAAAGCACAGTGAAACCACTACCAGTGACCTTAAAGAAAAGAAGATAGAAATCACTACAAGTAAAAGCTGTCTATTTTGTAAAAAAGAAGGACATATGATATCAACATGCTATAAATTCAAGCCAATGACAACAGAAGAGAAAATAGACTTTCTGAAACAAAATGGTATATGTTTTGGTTGCTTAAAGCATGGACATATGAAAATGAATTGCACTCAAAAGGCAACATGCACTAAATGCAATAAGAACCATCCAGATATTTTACATATGGAAAAAGAGGTTAAAAATCCAAGGGAAGTAACAACAAAAAAGGAGATTACATCTCAGGTTTCATTGCCTGAAGAACCTACCTCTCTTATGGGAGCCGGAGCTGATGGTCAATGTACGTTGGCTGTTGTACCAGTTAATATCAAGATGAAGAATAGTAATACCATAATATCTACGTATGCTTTCCAGGAAGCACAGTTTGTTTCTGTACAGAAAATTTAATGAGACAAATTGGGGTAACTGGTCGAAGAAAAAGAATCACAGTTTCCACGATGGGTGTTCCTCATATAATGGATAGAAGGATTAGAGATTAGTGGTTTAACTACTAAAGAATATATACAGTTGCCTACTGTTTACACAGAGGACAGTATACCTGTGGAACATCGCCATATACCACAGCAAGCTGACATAGATAGTTATCCTCACCTTAATTCTATACATCTACCAAAGTTAGAAACTGAAATTGGTTTGCTGATTGGCAACTGTGTTTCGGACGCATATACTCCGTTGGAGAGTGCTATTGGTCCTCCTGGTACACCTTATGCCACAAGGACACGACTTGGATGGACAATATGGGGTCTAATAAGACCTGAAGATTCATTGAAATTGTATAGCAACTTTATTGACAGAAGAAAAGATTTTGAAGCTGTAGACTATATAGATAACCTAAAAAAGTTAGAAAAAGATTTCCAAAGATATGTCGGGCTTGACTTTCCTGAAAGGACGATTGATGAAACCAAAGAGTTATCAATTGAAGATAGAAATTTTAAAGATTTTGTACAAAGTACACTGTCCTATCAGGAAGGGCAGTATTCCATCGACCTACCATTTAGAAATCCTGTTCATCTGCTTAGTAATGAAGAAATGGTAAAGAAGAGGCTCCATGGCACAAAGAAGAAATTGGTTTCAAATCAACAATTTTATGAAGACTATTGCAAGTTTATGAACGACATAATTAGTGAAGGATATGCTGAAATTGTATCTGAAGAGAACATAGATAAATCGGATGGCAGAGTTTAGTATATACCACACCATGGTATATACCATCCTAGAAAACGAGACAAACTTCGAGTAGTGTTTGATTGCTCTGCTAAATTTGAAGGCATATCACTCAACGACTTACTTATGCAAGGTCCTAATGTGACAAACAACTTCATTGGAGTCCTACTTAGATATCGCCAGGAGAACATTGCAGATATTAAGTCCATGTTTTACAGACTACTGGTGGACAGATGTTGTGATGACGAAAGAACCTTCAGTTTACCGAATGACGGTACACCTATTTGGAGCAATATAATCTCCTACATGTGCCAATATAGCATTACACCAAACTGCAAAAGATAATGAAGAAGATTATAATCCAGAAGTCATAGAAACAATATACAAGAATTTTTATGTCGATGATTGTCTCAAATCTGTCAACACTACAGAGAAAGCAGTCAGAATGATTAATGACTTGACTAAACTTTGCAGTAAAGGAGGCTTCAAGCTCACGAAATGGATGTCTAATGATAGACAAGTTATACAAACTGTACCCTCTACAGAAAAAGCAAAAGTTTTGGCAGATCTAGATTTAGATTATGAGAATATACCCACTGAGCACACTCTTGGTGTTCTTTGGAGTCCAGAAGAAGATGTATTGTATCAAGAT